AAATATAATCCTTCTTCATTCAAATGGTAAATAATTTAAGAAAATATTTTTTAAAAGTAATGATAAATAATTTGAGACGGATAAAATAATACTCTTTATTTATGTGAAACTTTTCGAAATTAATCTCTGCGCATTTGTAGATGAAGTAAAAGAAATGAAAAGGTAGTATATACTAATCAGTAAAATCTTCAAATTTTACAATGATTATGAGGGGATTATGGTAAGCAAATCTCCATGGTCTTCAAGACTATATTGTATAATCTATTAGGAAAATGACCTATTTTCTAATTTTTCACCACTAACCCCACCATAGACAACAAGAACAATCCTTTTTTTTGTAAATTAAAATTAAAATAACAGAAGAGTTTTTTTTAAAATATTTCGATCTTTCTAGGATAGTCATCAACTATAATAAAATATCATTATAATAATTTAGTTTGTTTCTTTGAAATTAGTAACAAGAAGATATAGTCAGAAATATCGACTCTTGTGATAATAAGAGCGGTAAACATAACCTTTGATGGAAATAAACAATTATTTTATTATATCAATCAAGTTAATCAAGAATTATGTTATTAAGTGTAGATTGATTAAGGTAATTTTTATTATGTAGTCAGATAGAAATAAATTAATTAAAAAATAGATAATTAAAACTTTAAACTAGCATATATCATAGATTTTTATATAATAATAATAATAATAATAATAATAATAAAATATTCAAACAAACGATGCCACGATAATAAATTGAATTGAAAGGGACAAGAGATGGTCCCAAAGTACCAAATCTCTAATTCCAAAGAAGGATTTGGTCTTAAAAACAAATGATTCTTTTGATTTTGTTTTGGGAGGTTTTTTCTAATCAAAAGATTCTTGCCGGATATAGTGGGTCATATATGTTTTTTCTTAAGAAAAAAAACTTTGGTTAAAATATTTTTTCACTCTATGTTTATATCAAATCAAATAGTTAGTCTACGTTTATATCAAATCAAATAGTTAGTCTTAAATTTTAAATATATAGAATAAGAACTCATATAATTTTCCATGATTAGATTATTAGTATATATTACATATATAAATAGTGCTATAGAAAAAATATAATTTATATTTATTAATCTGATATAAATATTGAGTATGAATAATAAATATTTACTTTTTTTACTTTTTTCTTATGGCGTTGACGTGTCAAAGTCTCACTTATTTAAAAAATTTACTCAAGATTTTATCCTTTTATTGTGGGGTAGAGGTGTGTGTAAGTTTTTATTATTGTCTTATTTTGACGGGTCAGTTTTAGTGAGAAATAAGTAAAACGAGCCGATATCAATATGGATTATGGTATAATAATGAAATTGTTTTATTTTAAATTAGAGATCTCAAGTTTAAGATTTTGATATGAAAAGAATTATATTGAAAGTGTTATTTTCAAATGTACACTGTAATGCGTGACTCAAATTTTACGGGAAGCTTATTCAAATTTGATATGTTGATCTACTTCTTTTGTCTCGTGTTAGTTGTTATATATTTGACTTCTTAAAACTCAAGTTATGTGAACTTTAATCGACACTTAAAAATATATTATATATCTGAAAGAAGTATCAAAGGCATCCCTAAACTTGCCACAAATTATTAGTTTCATCTCTGAATTATTGAGTATTGATAACCTTAAAAACACTCATTTACTTGTCTAACTATTCTTAGATACATCCCCGATACACTCCCGATATGTAACATGGCATAGCAAGTGACCTCAAACTCTTGTAGTAGGATGGAGTTCTTAATGAAAATCTAGAGTGATGTTGACAATACCCCTAAACTTGACGAAAATTTAAGAGTGTATTTCACTAATGTTCAAAGGTATATTTAGCTTTAATTTAATCAAGTAAATGAGTATTTTAAAATAGTCAATAGTTTAAAAATGAATCTAATAATTTTCATCATAGTTAAGAGTATTTTTGAAACTTTTCTTCTATATATTTTCATATAATTCATAACATGGTAAAAATGCATTTTACCTATGATAACATAATTATATATAGTTAACTTCCTCAGACCTCGATTTATCATTTGATCATGATATTGCAATGTTGTTATTATTATATTGAAATTAATTATAAATAAATTAATTATGTAGCATAAAAGTTACATTTTTTTAATTATTAATTTTTTTCCCATGCGTACAAACATATCCTTAATTATTCTTCATACTATTGGGCCACAACGTCCTTCTTATCCTTTCAAATTTCACTAAAGGGTATGTTTAATTAGGTTAACAATATTAAGTTAGGTTTTGTTTGGAGGTAGCACCTTATGCTGTTTAGGTGGTACCCACTACATAATAATACACAATTTAATGTGCCCTAATTAGGACTATTCATATTGCATGTGTGACTGTCCCAAAAGTAGTCCTTTGTGATGCTGTTTCTATATAAAAAAATAATTAACATGTGTGTGAATTATTAACTAATTAAATTGACCAAATAAATAGAGATATTTTTTCAAAGTCTTTCATATTATTTTTTAAAAATGGTAATCATATGGAAGTCAAATATTAGAAATTATTTTAAGCTTTAGTTTTGAAATAACGTCCATGCATGGTAATTTCTTCATGGAAAATTATACAACTACATTATGTCAAAACTTTAGTTATTCCATTTTTTGGTATATACAACGTAATTTATTCTTATCGTAGTTTTTTTAAATGAAAGAAAATATAAATTTCATAATAATATAAAAAGGAGGAACAAAATCGTATCTGAAAATGACCTTTTCACTCGATCATTAATTCTCAAGTGATCAATTTCGATTTTTCAGACACATCACACCAATTCTACTTGGATCTTGACTTTTATATATACAAAGAAAAACGTTATCATATTTTTCATATTGTTCCTACTTAATCCAATTTTGTAAATGAATTAATAGATGGACCTAATACGATAAGATTTATTATAGATCTTAAACATAAGTGTGAAAAACATGTTTATGTTTTGATGGGATATATCATTCATGTTAATCAACTCAAAAAATAAAGAATATAAGTTGAAAAAAGCATTGAACTTCAATTTCTAAACATTATGATAAATTTTATGAAAATACACATAATTTACCATCTTATGTCTCTGAAAAAGATCGCGTAAAAAACACATGTCTAGAAAAGTATAATTCCAATTATTGAACACTAAAAAAAAACTCTGAAAATTAATTCTTTCACTCTCCCAATTTATTTGACACATTTCATTTTTCGTAAGTCAAATAATTTATGTTTAATAAAAAATTTGTTTCTGGAATTTCATTTTTTTTTGAAATGAAATTTATATATTTTTGTAAACTACGTAAAAAGTATTATATCAAAATAATTAAAATAATATGAAAAATTTACGATTAAAAATAAACTTGTTTGAATTTCGAAACTCCAAAAAGTGTCGGTATAAATTGTGACGGAAGGAGTACTATTTTATTGGGTCTATGTTAAACTTCTTGGCTAATTGGGCCTATGATGTTTGGAGATCCAATAAGACAGTAGTTGGGCTTACTTCAGTGTGGGCCTATATCTTGAATTGAGAATGGGCTGTTTTTGGAGATCCAATAAGTTGGCTCAGAGTGAATATGGAATATCACTTGTTGTCAATTGTGGTTTAGTGGTTCTTAGGGCTACTAAGCTAGCGTTATCGTAGATTTTAGATTATATTTTAAAAATTTACATTTAAATATTTATTCGGTCATGTGAAAATCTGATCTTTGAATATTTTTTAAGTTTTAAAATGATATATATATATATATATATATATATTTAC